CGGGGGGTGGCCCCCCCTCGGGTTCTCTCTCCTCCTCTCTCTAGCGCATCACCCCCGAGCTCCATGGGAATCGGCTCGGAGGTGCTGGAGGGTGGAATGGTCGGCGCCCACTTGGACGTCCGCTGGGTAGCCGCAGGGGTGTCCAGAACGTTTGAGATGTCCCCCAACTGGTCCGAATGATAGGTTGGTGTCCCTGCAGGCCAGCTCACGACGAACATCCTCTCGTAATGCTGCACCGGTAATGGTCGATGAGGGCCCCCATTTCCACCCCCGCATCCTCGCCGCTAGCGTCCGGAACTCCAGTGCGAACTCCTGTTCGCTCCTCTCTTCCCTTCCCCTGTCGTAGGTGGCACAGACGCCTCCCCCCGTCTTTCTTTCCCTTCTGGTGGGGATCGAAGACATCCCTGAAGCGGTTCGGAGAACTCGCGTAGGTGATGGTAGCGGCTCTAGTCCCCTCCATTCGGCGTTGGCCCACATCCAACTCCTTTGCCGGATGACAGGAGATTAGGGCGGATGACACTCTCGTATCCCGAGGGCGCTGGTGTATGGTGCCATGTATAGTTCCAACTGCAGGAGGAACCCCTGCACCCCGGCTTCAGAACCGTCATATGCCCTCGGGAGGCGAGAGCCAATGCCACGTTTCCGGTGCTGAGAAGGAGGACTTGGCCGTTGGTGATGGGCAATGGAGTAAGAAGCGTAGGCACCTCTCCAGTCACCACGCGCGCAGAGTTTGGAGGACCCCCGTTCATGGCGGCCCCAAGTTGGCCGGATCATGGTGTCTTGATAGCTGATCGCTCCTTCCAAGCGACTTGGGTGCCCCGCTTGGCTCACTGCTGACTCCAGAGTTGGGTGGGTGTTCTGTCAAAAGAACGATGTGATGTGGTGGAGGAGTCAGTTTTTTTTTTTTCCCCCCCAAAAAAAAACCCCCAAAAAAAAAAGGGGCCCAAACCCCCAACCAAGGGTTTTTTCCAAACCCCCCCCGGGGCCCCCCCGGCCCCCCCCCCCCCCTGTTTTCCAGAGCTGCTGACCAACTGCCCCCACAACAGGTAAAAAAGCTCTCCCTGGAACAGGCTGGAGGGGACCAAAATGGTGAAGGAGGCTTGATCCCTTCCCCTCCCCCCACCCCCCCCTTTCTTCCAAGGTCGCCTCAACTACTCCCCTTCATGGTCAAAAGGTTTGGGATTTGTACTTGGTTGTCTTTCATGTTCCTTTTTTTTGCCTAAGGGGCAACAGGGGTGACATTGTATCTACCTGTGCTTAACACCTCATTAAACCCTACTCATAGACCACACTTGGTAATTGAGTGAATAAATTTTGGGAAATGACAACATGCACTAAACCGGAGCATACATTATGTGAACAATAGAAACTTAGGATAGTGAATTGAATGGTGACTATTGCACTTACTAAATTTACATTGATCATTGTGTTTTAGGTTCCATCCATGCTAACCTTTTTGCATAATTTGTACTCTTTTCACGGGTGGTTCTGGTTTGATGCCTGTTCTCCATACTGATAGAACCGAGAGGAATATTTGCCCCCAATGAAAACACTAACATTTCTAACGTACTGATGAGAGGCGAACTTATCCATTGTGCAAACTGCTTGAATGTTCCAGTCAAATTCAGCTTTGTACCAATTTTTCCACATTTTCATAGTTTTTCAAAAATAGCAATACAGAAATGTTTGCTCTTCAATGGGTTCTCATCATAGTTGGAACCTTTGATGAATTTATAATTTTATTTTTTTTTTTCACCCCCCTTTTTCGTGATATCCAATTGGTAGTAGTTACAGTCTTGTCCCATCACTGCAACTCCCGTGTGGACTCGGGAGAGGCGAAGGTCGAGAGCCATGCGTCCTCCGAAACATGACCCCGCCAAGCCGCACTGCTTCTTGACACACTGCCCGATTAACCCTGGAAGCCAGCCGCACCAATGTGTTGGAGGAAACACTGAAGTCAGCGTGCATTGCTTGGCAGCCACAAGGAGTCGCTAAAGCACGATGGGACAAGGACATCCCAGCCGGCCAAACCCTCCCCTAACCCGGACGACGCTGGGCCAATTGTGCGCCGCTCATGGGTCTCCTGTCGCGGCCGGCTGCGACACAGCCCGGGATCGAACCCGGATCTGTAGTGACTCTTCTAGCACTACCATGCATGGCCTTAGACCGCTGCGCCACTCGGAGGCCCCATCAAGGAAACATACAATAGTTGAACTATTTGTGTAGATAGTAACCTGTTTGTTGAACACCACTGATTCTAAGAACAAGAATAAGAACAAGACATTGTTCTCCAGGTAACAACTGTTACTTGTACATGAAGCTGCCTCACATTACAGTAACAGGAGATGGGCTCCTGCTCCTATGAGCCGTTGTGGCTCGCACAAGTCAAGGCTTGTGCAAAGCTACCTTCTTACTTGGGCTTGCAGATTTAACATATTGAGTCGTCAAGAACAGCTTTACTGCTCAGACATATGGTGTCACAGTACTGAAGGGCAAGCGGCAGGGGGCTTCTTATCTTTTGTTGGGATCCCTGATAGCACATGACAGATCGACAACCAGCGTTTTTTGTAAATACTGCCCCACCAAGGACTAACTAAAAGACTAATGACCAAAGGGGTCCGCTCTCGCTCTCTCACAGTCACTCTGCGTCATTTTTTAAAATATATACACTGAGTATACAAAACATTAAGGACACCTGCTCTTTCCATGTCATTGACTGACCAGGTGAATTCAGGTGAAAGCTATAATCCCTTATGATGTCACTTTTTAAAATCCACTTTAATCAATTTAGATGAAGGGAGGAGACAGGTTAAATAAGGATTTCTAACCTCGGACAATTGAGACATGGATTGTGTATGTGTGCCATTCAGAGGGTGAATGGGCAAGACAAAATTTAAGTGCCTTTGAACGGGGTATGGTAGTAGGTCCCAGGCGCACCGGTTTTGTGTCAAGAACTGCAACGCTGCTGGGTTTTTTCACGCTAAACAGTTTCGCTTGTGTATCAGAATGGTAAACCACCCAAAGGACATCCAGCCTACTTGACACAACTGTGGGAAGCATTGGAGTCACATGGGCCAACATCCCTGTGGAACGCTTCCGACACCTTGTAGAGTTAATTCCCTGATGAATTGTGGCTGTTCCAGAGTCCAATGGTGGCGAGCTTACACCACTCCAGCCGACCTTTGCATTGCGCATGGTGATCTTAGGCTTTGTGTGGCTGCTTGGCCATGGAAACCCATTTCATGAAGCTCCCGATGAACAGTTGTTGTTGGCTGACGTTGCTTCCAGAGGCAGTTTGGACCAAGGTAGTGAGTGTTGCAAACCGAGGACAGACAATTTTTACACGCTACGCGCTTCAGCACTCGCGGTCCCGTTCTGTAAGCTTGTGTGGCCACTTCGCGGCTGAGCCGTTGTTGCTCCTAACGTTTCCACTTCACAATAACGCACTTACAGTTGACCGGGGCAGCTCTAGCAGGGCAGAATTTGACGAACTGACTTGTTTGGAAATATGGCATCCTAGGACGGTACCACGTTGAAAGTCACTGAGCTCTTCAGTAAGCCATTCTACTGCCAATGTTTTTTCTATGGAGATTGCATGGCTGCAGAATTATGTATTTCTTGCAGTAAAATTATACATCAAATGTAAATGTTGTCTCTGGAACAGAGTGGGGAAATATGATTTATTTCTTTCAACATTTCTTGAGAAATACGAATGCGCTTGTAATGTGTTATCTTTGACAATGTTACGCAAGCAGACAGTATTTCAACATCATAAATCTTCATCACACAACACCCCTGATATGCAAACTGCGCCTAAGCAGACTGTGAAAAACAACAGTAAATGGGATAAGATGTTTACATGCCACAGGGATCCCGTCTAAGATCAGCAAATATCCCAGTCATCTTTTCTGGGTTTTTGCAGAACGGGGATTCAAGCTTTTTTGGGTTATTGTAAACGGGATATGATGTTTACATGTGTCAACTCAAAAACAGAATACTTGAGTATCTCGAATAATAACGGGATATTGGTGTGCATGTAAACGTGGTCAGTGTTTCACTCACCAAATCAGTATCACCCAGAATTTCTACCATCTGGGAGGGGCTTTCAGTCAACCCTAACTCTATCTATTTCTCCTGCTTTCCTTCCCTTTGCTTGTTTTTCCCATCTTTCCCTAAGCCTCTCCGTTCCCTCTTATCTGACTGCATATTTGAAATTCGGATTTTACCTAAAGCCTACAGGGTTTTAAATTGTTCTGATACATTGCATTTTAAGACTAGGTAAAGTGGTTTTAACTACTTTGCAGATATGAAACAAACAGACAATCTTAATATCAGTCAACAATATACAATTCCCAGTTTATGCTTCAAAACCAATTTTATAAGAGGTTTTAAAAATAGGTTATATTTTACTCAATTCCATGACGTACATAAGGCATTGTTGGCAAATAGATGGATGCAGTTCAATGCATGATTCATATAATTCACCAATACATTCATTTCTTGGGAGTCCAAAAAATATCTGGTTGTAAATCACAGCTGGCCTGGTACAATTGTTTTGCAGCCTCCACCCTTCGGGATGCACTGTTTCAGTTTCAATGACTCAACATTTTGAACAAAACCGACGACTGTGTGAGGAAAATTGTATTGTCTGAAGAGAGCCTTGAATTGTACACAGCATCTTTTTTCCTCTCAATTTCTTATCGCCATAACTGCTCGGACTGTACCCCCCCTTTTAGGGCCTTGGGGAAGCCCAGAAAATTCTCCCGGGAACCAAAAGGAAAATTTTTTTTAAACCCGCTTTGGGGAAAAGGTTTGTGAGGTATATAGCAAAGCGAAGAAAAAAAATTAAAAATTTTATTTTTAAATTTTTGTAAATTTTTTAAACATGTTGTGTTT